AGGGAGAGATTAGCTTTTTAATTAAAATTAATTTTAATTAAGGGAAATTTACATACATACCACTATATTTATAGCAATTTACATATCTAACACCTAAAAATTTAATATTACTCATATACCACCCAAAACTCATTTCATACATCACTTCTACCACTCCGTTACTTCCGCACCCTCACGCTGTGATCCCAACCGGAAAGACTGGCATCCCCAAGCAGCTTCTAGCAGAAACGCCCCAAAAGCAAAAACATTTTTCATGTTCTAGACAGCTCCGGAGCGAGATAACCCAGCGTTCCAACCACACTCGTCGTATCCGCCATGCTCCCGCGGTCGTGCAGCCTTGCTAGCCCGAAATCTCCGAGCTTTCCGTTGAAATCAGCGTCCAGGACATAGCTCGCTTTAATGCCTCTGTGAAATACCACCTGTTCCCATTCCTCGTGTAGATAAAGCATCCCTGCCGCGATGCCTTTGATGATGTTAAATCTTTGCTTCCATGTGAGAGATTGTTCAACTCTGTTGAAAAGGTAATTATGGAGGCTGCCGCTGGGCATGAAATCGTAGACAAGGATGCTACGGGAAACAGAGAACCTAAGACCATTAAGAAAAACACTAGGATTGCTACCGGAAACCAATAGAGAATCATCGATTTCTTTCTCTTTTTAATTTTTGGTAGTGCCAAAAGAGACGGGAGATTAAAAGCTAAAAGCTCTGCTTCTCTGCCGTTCAAACAGAAGCTTCATCGGAGAATGTAATGCCAACCGGCGACCGCACCGGTGGAAGAAGAGAATGTAACAGCGTGAGGTGTGGAATTAACGGAGTGGTAGAAGTGATGTATGAAATGAGTTTTAGGTGGTATAAGAGTAATATTAAATTTTTAGGTGTTAGATATGTAAATGGCTATAAATATAGTGGTATGTATGTAAATTTCCCTTTAATTAATTGTAAAATAAAATGATCTCACCAGAGAGCAGAATAAAAATTCAGATATCTGAATGTCCATCATATTGTATGCCTCAAGCGGCATTATCACATCTTTAAAATAATAACTAGAAAATGCAGAACCTAATTGCAGCGCACAACCTCGGAATTTTTGTAACTGGAACTTCCGCTTCACCAAACACTATTTTTCACCACCTTTGAGTGAATCTGCTTAAAAATTAAAGAGCCCAGTATAGCTGCATGAAAAATAATATCTTTTTGAAAGTTCCGCAGCCAGCTTTAGTGGCAGGAAAACCAACCAACCTCTGACTTAGGACCGAGGTACTCATGTCCCTTCCTTGATTCCAAATCTAACCTCATCAGTGAACGCTACACCGCTTAAGATACATCAAGCGTCTAGTCTAAGCAATAATGCATCAAACATCTGAAAATCTCATAATCAACTGTCAACAAAAAGGGACGAATGGCGGCACTTAACCTCAGAACTTAAGGATGCGCCGAAGAAAACTCCCAGCGGCTAACATCGGGCTTTTATTCTCTACTTTGTCTGCAAAAAATAGATAATAAGAAGACATAACCAAACTAATGCGTAAACCCGAAGCAGAAATTATCACAACACCACCTGGTCTCGAAGAAGGCTGAGGCCTCCATATATACATCATTAGAGTTAATCACCGTAGAAGCTGCATTCTGGTTTAGAACGAAAAAACAATAATTATCAAAACAAAGATCGAGGAAATTAGAAGCCAAAAGTCATAATACAAACCTCCAATTTGAATGATAATATTAAAATTCCGTGCTAAGCATTATCGATCTCCCTCAGAGGCATGCAAATTTCGTGATTGGGAGAGCAAAGCGCGGTGAAACACAAGCCTCCTGTCCGAGGAATTAGAGGAGTAGGAAGCAGGAAGACCTTGAATCCACCGAAAAATGGCAGAGGGGAGGAGTCGAAGGAGGAATGGAGAGGCGACGGCCGATGACATCCGGTATAGGCAGATGAGGCATTAATGATGGAGAATGGTTAAGCAGGGGCGGTAATGGCGACGGTGAAGACGGGAGATACGAGGATTTTCGCCTCCATCCGGAAGATGACATGGTCACGGCGGGCGCCGGCCGCCGTAACCTATACTCTGACGCAGCAAACGAAGAAGCGGGCCATCGACGGCGATGAAACGTGGCGGATGACGTTTGGGTCCCAGCAGAAGATCCCGGAGGAGATGGCTCTTCACGCCTCATGTTGAGCATTTTATTTTATTTTTTATTTTTTTTTTTGAAAAAATGCTATTATATTAAAAATAAATGTAATTAATTTTTTTTATTATGAATTGATGAAGTTCAAAAAATAAATAAGTTTTAAAGATTTTAGATGAATTATGTCATTGGTAGGGAAAAAGTGAGCCGGTTTATATTTTAATTCTGGCATAGACGCAGCTCTCATATTCTTCCTTATACATGGCTTGTTTTGTCTCGATGGTTTAAAAGTTAGTTTGACATTCTTAGCAAGGAGAATATTATTATTCCCTTTGCCAATCGGAGAATGAGAACAGCACCCATGTGTTCTTTTAATGTGACCTCTCTTTTGCTGTTATTACTCATCTTTTGTCTGTGTTGGACTCCTTTTTGTTCAGGCCTACTCTATTACAGTTGTTCGAATTTTTGGAAGAGTTAAGCCTTTACAGCAAAATGGAGAAAGAATTTTGTTTTTTTTTTTTTTGTTATTTGCGCTGCGGTTTACTCTCTCTGGAGAGAGCGCAATGATAGAAGATTTTCGGGATCTTATTCTACATACCAAGTTTTGTGCTGGAAAATTGTTTTGGCTATTGATCGGAAATGGTCTGGAAGGAAAAAAGTGGAACTGCTTCATAATTCTTTTCCTACTTGCTTCATTTAAATGTCTGGAGGTTGGTTTTGACGGCAGGACGATGATGATCGGAACCAGTTTTGTGCCCCCTCCCTTTGGACGGCCAATGGGGTTTATGTTCACTTGTGTTTTGTTAATTGGCCTGGCAACTTCTGTTATGGTTGCACCCTGCTTCTCACTTGTGTTCCTCTCGGTTGGCAACCGAGGAGGGCTTAATCCGACGTCCCTTCTGGCCTTGGACAATTAAGCATTTTTTGCTCTGATGATTTCTCTTGCCCTTGAGCTCTGATGATTTCTCTTGTCCTTGAGCTGGTTCTGAATTCCCTGAGTCCTGTAACTTTTTGAGATTTTCTTTTTGTCTTTTTTGTTTTTCTTTTTTCTATGTTGGTGATCATAGTTTTTAGTCAGGTTTTGTCTGGCTAATTTTTGTAGGTTCCACAATTTTTTGTATATCTCAATATATGGGCTAAGCCCTAATTTTTCCAAAATAAATAAATAGTTATTTTTAATATATTTTTTTATAAAATAATTTATTTATCATTAGAAATTTTATGAGTAAACACAAGTTCTGTCATAATTTTTAAGTCTCACATCACACTCAATTATTTTGATAATAAATTTGAATAATTAATTCTATGATAATTTTAACTATATTTCTAACAAATTTATAAACTAAACAATATGGTTTGATAAGACGAACTAAACAATATTAGAAACATATGAATCTAATACAAATAAGCCTATCAATTTCTATATCCATAATTGAAATTTTTTGAAGTCATTTAAGAGATCGAACATCATCTAATTTTTTTATGTTTGTAGTCTTAAGTAAAAGTCTTGATGACACGAATATGATATGTCCAAGATCTTCAATTCAAATTTTACTATGCCACTAAAATGCTTAAAAAAAGACTATGATCAAAGAGAATTTATTCACAATGTCTAATGAAATTCATAGACTTTTGGCAGAAATGACCAAAAAAATCCTCTAAAACATATAAAAATAAAGATGGTACACATTTCAGATAATATTTTCAATATAAATATATCTAGGATTCATAAAAAAAAAAAATTAGATCTCTTTCTAAATCTATAACATCAATGCATGTCATCATCACCGTCTAACTAAGATTATTAACCAACATCGATGCACGACCTCCAACACCCCCATCAACTTTCACAAAATGTCTAACAATGATCAATATTTAATCTTTATTATCCAATAATATTCAATGAATATCTTTTCAATCATCTGATCTTCCCTCCTATCACGTGAATGATCAAGACAGTCATCCACCATCACCTAACTTATAATGTTCTTTATTGATCAACATTCAACACTTAAAAATGAGTAGGATCTGACTTCTATCAGCCATCAAGATGCTCTTCTTTTTAGTCATGAAGTCTCCCCTATTTCATATGAACAACTAAATTAGCCTTTAACTGGCTATCACTTCCAACATTTCATTATTGTTTTATGCCTTTTAATGATTAAGGTTTAATGTTCAAGAATCATTAAAGTTAGATACCCGACTTCTCAATCATATAATCACCCCTATTATCAAGGGAATAACCAAGCTAACTATCTATCATCGTCCATCTTTCAACAATCCTTTCTTACTACCACAGAGCTCTTGCCAATGGATGATGTTCGATGCCCATTTGCCATTGATGTCTAACACACATCTTGACATCTATTAGCCACTTATGTCTAACACAAGTTTTCTTAGTTAATCTTTATCCTATTAAAAGAACAAACAAGTTGATCGCCCACCATCATTTGATTTCAATGTTCTTTTCTAATTGTCATCTATATATATTCCACTCATTATCGACAACTAATATCCATATCAACCGCTAATGTCGAACAATTGTCTTTATAGTCACCTTATTTTCAACAAAATCACACCTCAAAACTCACTATATTACTGCCATAAAAGATGTTTTGTATGATTCATGTATAATAAAGTATTATAATATCTTATTTTGTTATGATAAAATATGGTTAATCATTTTAATTAGACTATACCTCCTGATTTTACCTTTCAATTTGAGTAGGCCTCATGATTTTTACCCTCTAAATTTTCACGTAAGAAATCGTATTTATTATTTTTTCTACTCCCAACATATTTGCATGTGTGGGAGATTTTAGTATAATATTAATAAAGATTTCTCTTTTGCAAAATAAATAAAATATAAATAAATATTCAAATATATAATTATTTTAAAAATAAAATAAAACACAATTAAACACATTAGCAAAAGCAACCTAAAGAGAAGATAGAATTCATGTGAAGAGCACTAGTTGAATGAGAAAAAATATATATTATTATCAAAATTTTGCACTAATTTTGAATATTTATTGACTTGTGGCAGCATTTCTTTTATATAAATATATTTTTATAGTAGATATTATTAGAACCAATATTATTGTCATAAATATAGAAAATTATATTAACATTTAAATTTAGGATTATAGACTTGAGAATTTTGTGTCCTAAGTTTAATGTAAATTTAAAATTATGATTATGATAATTTTTAGCCAATCATTTTGTGCTTAAAATTACTTTCACTGTTAAAACTTTCAGTGAAATCTTAATAAAAATAAGTTAAGCTTATCATATCAGTCTAATTAAATGCAGAGTAAAATAATTAAATATAGTTATGTAATATAGCCTAATCATAGGTAATCAATTGTTAATTTAATGTATCTACGCATTAATTAGACAATAAATTATTTGCTATATTAAGCACAATTACTTCTACTTGGACTAATTAATCCTGTTTAAAATAATTATATAGGAATTATCAGTTATTATGACTAACTAAAATGTTAATTAATTATATCTAAATTCATTAAATATTTTAATGTGGTGGAGACTATTGGAGACATAGCAAAAGAATAATGATGTCGATTGTCAAATGAGGGCATCAAATGAAGATGGATGAGTAATGACAGTTGGACTACGATGAAAGGATGACAACTGTCAGATGATGGAGGTTGTTGGCGGTCATGGGCGGATCCCCATTGAGTTGAGGGGGGGGGGGGGGGGGGGGAAATGCCCCCCCCCAAAAAAATTTTTTTTTTTTATTTTAGAGAATGTCAAGATTATTAATTTTAGAGGGATATTTTAGAATATTTTGGGTATTTTGCCCCCTCTCAAAAAAATTTTTTGCCCTCATTTAATCATTCCTAAGCATCTTTGCCCACCCCCCACAAAAATTTTTATTTTTGCCCACCCTGAAAAAAGAAGCTGGATCCGCCCCTGTTGGCGGTGTTCATTAATGTCGCATGTCAAGTAAAGCTCTAGTGTTCTTTATGTCCTTAAGATCTCTTTAACTTTAAGTCATGTTCTCTTTCTTGTGAAGAATGATAGTCTATTTACGGCTATTAAGATTGACATTTTGATAAATATATCAGAATGCTTTAGCATATGGCCCTTGTGATTCCTTTGATCATATGTTGTTCACTAAGCATTTAAATAACTTAATGACTTTGAATTTGAGTCATCTTAAGCTCATTGGATTTTCCTTTTTGAGATGCTCATTTTGGTTGCAAGTATATAAGAATTAGGGATAATTTGGTCGACTAATTAATATTAAAAAAAGTTAAGTTAACTTTAAGTGAGACGTTCAGTTTCAAATTCGAATGTTTGATCACTTTTAATGTTATATTTCAGTTTGATTATAAGTCTGTTGAAAGCGGAGTTGGATGGTCCTGAGAACAATTTCAAAAGTTTTCAATTAAAAAATTGTGTCTAGATTCATATTGATTAAATAGATTTTTGGATGATGTATCACTTGCTCCCTATTTTTTGACATTTAGATTTGTTCATTAGAAAGTGCATTAAATCTTTTAAAAAAGTCACAACATGACTTAATAATTAAAAAAAAATGCAATGTATGTCCACACTTTATATGTCATTGTAGAACTCTCATCCATCTCATGAATCAAGTATAATTTCCTCGATCATTATTTCAATCTTTTTTGAATCTAACATGTAAATTGGATAAAAAATTTATCAAAGAAATTCACTAAAACTTTTTTAAATAACTCGAAATTAGTTGTTAATGGTTAGTGATGCTTCAAAAGCACTAAAAAAATTGGAATGGGCACGTCTA